TCCAACTAATCGGTCTGGAACGCCCTTTTATGATAGAGTCGAACAATTATCTCTTCGACCTCCAAATAATCATTTATCCCGGCGCTGGCGTTGGTGGCTCCCGTGCCACGCGTCAGCCGCCGCGCCGGATAGGCTGGCCCGCCGGGCACGTCTGCAGTGCGGGCCAACCTGCCGGCCGGCGGCAGGTGCTCGTCAGCCAACTCGGCACGCTCGGCAGGTCTGTTTTGTTTTTATCCGGCATAATTTCTCTCAATTCGAGCAGACCATTAGTGTCCGTAAGGTGCGGAATTGTAACCACCGACGGAATTCTTCATCAGCCTAAGTGGCTGGAGATTTACACGGAACACTAAGTAGCATTTATCAACGGTTTTAGAGTAGTTCTCGTTAGTTCGCCACTTAACAACGTGGCTGGGTACTCCCGGGAGCCATCGTGTTTTCCGGTCCGAAACCTTGGGCGATGCTGGTAAATAACAAAAATGCGGCGGAGAAATTGGTTCCGTTCTTATACGCGGGGTGTGGACTTTTTCAGAGGCCGGCGCGCCTGCATTTCTCGCCACCGAGGCGCTATTTTATTGATCTCGACTGTCGTTATTGGAAGCGTATCTTCCAGAGCCGACTGACTCGGTTGAACGGTACCATACGGGTGCTGACGAGTTCTGAAGGCGGCACATTTGTTTCTCGGTGAGATACCGACCGCTATACCTGCGCTCAAAGGTGCTGGAACTGGAATGGCTGGTTGGGATGTGATTGTAATCTGGGGATGGACAGGGGTATCTCGTTTCAGAAGCATTGCTGGTGGTCATTGAAATGATAGCTTGGGTGACAATGAATAATGTTATGGGAGCAAGACACTCATATGATGAATCGATCTTCAACGGTTATCGACGATCAGAGGTCACACAAGCTCCGGTGGCCGAGTGCCAGGTCAAACGGTGACAGATCATCGAGGTAAAAAGGACAGATCATCGAAATTAATCCCTTTACTATTACGAACATTTAGCTGATTTCAGATGTTGGGCTATGATAGCTGGAGCGCCCTGCTTATATATATAGTTCTCTTATGAAACATCTCTTCGGTGAAGCACTTCGATAAGATTAATCAGGAACACCTCATAACTAAGATTCAAGACCTCGCAACCTGCATGACCTTCTCACATACCTCCAGATAACCTCGCGAGCGCTAGTGGAGAGTCACGTTCCTCAGGGCGTGATCATATCACCTCATACCTCCATCTGCGCGGCGCCGTGCCACCCGTCAATATCGCTGCTCGGTGAGCTGCCTCCGGCGGCTATAGCGCCTCCAGCGAGATGGTTTGATATACGGTCACGTACGCCAGCGCTCACTCATCCTAGCCGCAATGGTGGTCCGTGGCCTCGGCAAGAGTCTGCGGCGGCGGCTATCGCGTAGCGCCTTATTGCAGTGTGTGAGGAGGGATGGGGCTGCCTATCGCCGAAGCGACAAGTAAGTGCTTATACCTGGTAGCTCATGCTTATTTTGGCTATCACTCAAGATCCCACGACAAGGCACTGGAGCGATTGGTATGGCTGAGTTGCCAAACATTGACACAAAGCCGCTGGGAATTCCGTATGGGGTGCTGCTGTCTCCGGGCAGTGTTTTCGCCGGGTGTCCGCTCGTTTCCCTGACAACCTGCGACAGGAGCCCTCATCCCCGTGATGTTCGATCTCGGTGACCCCTTTATCTCCGCGGCCAGCGGCTGGTTGACCCTCGCAGTGCCGGAGGGCAGGGCACGGCCGTTTGTTTACCGGTCGGTCACCGGCCGCAGCGGGCCGGGGCGGCCTCCTATAAAGGCACGACGCTGTCGGGGTCGGAGCAATGCAGCTCGGGTCGCCGTCCGTCCGGCTTCGGTTTGTCTCTGATCGAGCGAGGGCTCTCCGTACCGCCGCTATGGCTGTCCGGCCGACACCACGTCTTCTGACGCTCTCCCTGCTACCGCTCCTGGCTGGGCTGGTGGTCATCGAGGCACTGACTTTACGTAAGCACCGGATATAGTCTTTGCTCGGGGGAGTGGGTGGCACGCTTTCATGTTCTGAGCCTTGTGTTCGCGCCCGTGAGCAGCAGTAAAAAGTTATATCCAAGATTTTGATTAATTGTATAAATGTTCATTGTAACTTGTTTCCTAAATGCGCTGCTCTCATTAAGTTTAGCGACTGTTGCAAATTGCAATATTTAATTCATTGAAACGAATTATCTTGAAAGCGTTTGACGAAAGCCCTGGATCTCGTGCGCATATTTTGCAGTGCTGGCGCTTGGAATTGAATTGTTCTGTGTGTAGAGGAACTCACAATTGAGTTTCATCTAGTGTGCTATTTTACGTTGATCTTGTTGGAATTGCACCTGAAATTCGGGCACAGTTATCAACTGGCATATCCTGAAATGTGTGCGCAAGCAGTGCGACATTATGAAAATATCTAGCTGAAAATTGACGGCTGATATATGCTCGTATAACGCGCACTTGCTCGTCGGCACGTTGAATATTCACCAAACTTCAGCACACCAGAATGGCGTGACCCAAATGGGATATCACCCTTTATTGGCTTAATATTCATTTACTTTTGTTAGATATTTCTCAGACGTAATTTTGCCGAAATGGTTCGTTTGATATTGCGATCCGATGCGTACCTATCTGCAATAACTTTGGCTAGTGGGGGATGTGAGCAAAGGCATGTGAATTTCCAAAACCCAATGGCTGATCAACTTTGCTAGGGAGCTTTTTTTTTTAACGGCGTCCATAAATACAAGGTGTATCAAGGTCATACAGCCAACTGTACCAGCCACTTCGTGCTGCATTTTTGTCGTTTCACCGCTGATTTAGATTCTTGTCATGCATAGGTAAGCAATGTTTCTGTGTGTTTAAAATATTACTCCGAAGTCGCTTTTGAAAATTTTGCTCATTACCTAAGGAATAAGTAATGTTTCCTAACTTTTACAGTGGCATGTGTTACGTTTATTCGCATCCTCGGCTATCTTGCCACTTGACCCGTAGGCTGACCTCTCGGCGCACTAATCACCACCCTTTTCCTGAGTGGCGGCCGACGCAGCGGACTTTGACCAAACCGGTCGACCTTTCGTATTCGGCTGCGACGCAGCACGCACCCTCCCCCGCCCTCCGCTTTTTGACGGTCGGCTGTGTTTTGATCCTGTCCAGACGTTACGCCCATTCATTTTTCTGCGACTGTATGATAATAATGGGCGATCCGTCGTCTTCCGCGTTCTGGTGTTTGCCAACATCCCACCGCTGAGCCGTGTAGCGCAGGGGCTGGTTCACTCGGAGGGTCAGGGCACGTCTCGGTGCCGCCGTGCCGAGATGATTGGGGCGCAGCATCGTGCCGACAGTCATACGGGCTGCTGGCGATTGGACCCCCGCCCCTCCCCCAGCGTGCCGGCGCCGCTGCGGGTCGGTGGCAACCGCAGGTTGTCGCCCCCAGAGAGGGCATTCGGGAGCCTCTGTGCCATGCTCTTGCTCATGGGGGATCGGGCATGTGCTGTAGAGATGTTTGCTTACAGGATGGTGTGGTGTGTGTGGCACGGGCTAGAGAAGTGAAACAGGTTGATTGGTTGCTCTGGACGATTCTGAGATGCGGCGTTCCTGACTTGGCTGGGTGCCGCGTTATATTGTTTCTTTTCCTTTCCATTCCTTCCGAGCTGATACGACGGATATCGAACGCTGTCGGATCTAGTTTGCTGATGGAGATTTTCCGCAAACCGATGCTGAGCCCTTTCAACTTTGAATTGTGTTGACTTGTTCGCGTGTTGTTCCGCATACCGATCGGCCTCCTCTGCGATCTGAATTCGGTAGCGTTTTTCCGCGGGGACTCGGCTGGCTGTGAGAGGTCCGATCTCGTGCGGTGGGTTTCGCCCGACCTCCGCGGCTCTGTCTGAGCCGCCTCTCGGTAGCACCCCGGGGACACTATGCAATAACACGCGCCGGCCCTCATTCGGCCGGGTAGTTTGGCCGGCGCCGTGCCGAGCTGCGTTCCAAATGGTGACAACGCAATTCAGATAACGCGCTGAAAGGGTGCTGGATGGGGTCGCGACGGACGCCGAAAATGCTGGGAAAACGAGAGCTTTTTCGAGATTGCTCCACCAAGCGTGCTATTGTAAACATGTTCAAGTTCAGCCAGATACCTGAATCGTAATCTAGTTTTTCTGTTGACTAAAATAACATTGAAAAGTTTACTTTGAAGAATCTTTTGGCGTATTCTTCCCATTGCTTCAAGTTTCTTTTCTTCTTCTTTTGTCGACAAGTCCAGTCGAATTGAAGCTTGAACGAATTTGTTTCCCTGCATTATTGCACCGGCCCGAAGGCGAATGCTGTTTTCTGTGCTCGGAAGATTGTATTTGCGATGTTCGAAGTTTTGTAATACCTGACGTCTTCTTCGTAAAGCAGGCTGAGAAAGGTCATATAGACTTCCGGAATGTTTTTCATTTCAGTTTGACGCCGAAATAGGTACTTCAAAGAAACTATTTCAATTGGCCGTCAAAGGCATGTCTTGTTGTCCCTCCAAAACTTGTCACAATTCGCCGACTTTTATAAAAGTTTATTTTGAAGGGCATGGATAGCCTACAAAAAGGTAAATTATCTGGACAATCGGTCCGTTGCATTCCTCGCCCTAGACGTCTTTGATTATTTAGAATGTAGGAAACTGAAAGTTGAAACGGCCTTGTATCGGCCCGTTGTGTATAATCGATTTCGACGCAAAACATTGAACCACGGCAATCGCTCCCAAGAGCTCAGTTTTTTAATATAGTTTTTCTAGCAACAGGCGCCACGCACAAAAAATTCACTTCTCACCTTACTCTTTCATAAAGCAGGCAGGCTTATGTGTACAATTTCTGGGTCATGATAATTTTTTATCTTTGTCTTTCTGTTTAAGCTCGCTCCCGTTTGACGTTCGCTCATGAAACTGTTGGTTTAATGTAACACCGTGGTCTAAGGTGAATAATGGCTGTTTCTGACGATTATGTATTTTCGTTACAGCCAAACCGGTCGAGTGTGACGACACCCAGTTCAAGTGCGGCAACGGTCGCTGCATCATCAAACGCTGGCAGTGTGACGGTGATGATGACTGCGAGGACGGTAGTGACGAGGACCCCCAGCTCTGTGGTGAGTACAGGAACGGTGGCTCAGCCGCTCCGACCGACGGATGGTCACGAATGGGTGCGAAAATGCACGAGATTTCAAACGTTACTACCGAAGAATAAAAAATGATTTACTTGTGAAAAGTGGTTAATGTGTAGCAAGTTCATTATTCCTGTGTTTTTGCTTTAAATTTTTTTGCTAAAATATAATCATAACTATGCTTGATTATTTCCTAAATGTCTGATGTGTTGGGCCTTATTGTTGTGCTTTCTCAGTTCATTCCCCTGCGTGAAGAAGCTACTGCTGTTGGTCTGTGTCTAAGTTGTCCTCTGTCTCTGTTTTCAAAATGTTTATTTTGTGGTCGCCAAACCACCACTTCTCGTCTCTTATCCTCACGTTCATGTCACAGCTACCACCATAGGTTATCCATCCATCCTTCACCGGACCGCCATCCGCTCACCAATGCCTCCCGCCGCCACTGCGGGCTGTTTAACAAACGGTGCCGACTACCGACTGCCGGCGGTCACTCCGATAAATCTGCCGATAGCGTTCAGTGGCCGCGTTTAACCGGGCAGTCCGTCTCCGGCCGTCGAGCCCTGCTCTCCCCCTCTCCCCCTCTCCCGCCCGCTCGCCTGCCCGGCAGTGAGCCTGGCCAGGCGATCCCCTCGGTCGATCGCCCGCAGCTATCCTTCCACGATCGAACAGAGCCCGGTGGGGATCGGCAGACGTCCAAAACGAACCGCAGTGACGGGTGACATGTTTTGGTCGTTGCAAATGTCTCATGTCCATGTTGGCACGTGGAGCTCCCTTATGATGTGTCACTTCAGTGCATTGTGTCGTTTTCCGGTCGTTCCTCCGTTGGTGTTGTGGCGACTCGAGTCTCGAGAGGCTCGAGTGTTGTTCTGGTGCTCTGTTGGTGGCCATCCAATAATGGTCTTATTGGCAGCCGTGCTGACAGAGGGCCCGAGGACCAACGAGGTGTGTGTTTTGTGCTGGCCTTGTGTGTTCCGGCCACTATATTGGGGCTTGGCGACTGTGAACGTACGGAACGGTGTTATTTCAGCTTCAATGTATCCCCGAAATGTGTTGCTGGTCGTTGTACTCTAAGGTGTTGTGCTGTGTTGTGTTTTGTTTTGTGTTAAGTTTGACGCACCACCCTGCGCGTTGGTCATACCCGGTTCGTACCGCCCTGTCTCGGTTAGTGTCCACCGTACCTGTCTGCTGTATCACTATGTAGTATGTATGTCTGCCGTACCGTTCTCCGTGTCTGCCGTACAGTTCTCCCGTATATCGGCTGGAGTGTGTCCGCCGTGTTGCAGCGGCGAGGCAGTGCAGCGCCGAACAGTTTCGCTGTGTTTGTCTGAGGCACATCTCCGTGTCTATCGTACCGTTCTCCGTGTCTGTGGTACCGTTCTTCGTGTCTACCAGTACCGTATAATCGTTCTCTCCCCGTGCCGGCTCTGCAGTGTGTGTGTCCGCCGTGTTGCAGCGGCGCGGCAGTGCGGCGCCGAGCAGTTTCGCTGCGGCGCCGCGGACGGTGTGGTCCAGTGCGTGCCTGCCTCTTGGCGCTGCGACGGCCAGGCAGACTGTGAGGACGGCGCCGACGAGCTCGGCTGCTGTAAGTGCCGCCGTCGCCGTCCTTGGGTGCCCCTCTCCCCGATCTAACCCGCTAACGACCCCGACCCGACCTGACCGACAGCGGCGCGCGCCTGTGCCGACGACCAGTTTGCATGCCGCGGGTCGGCGGGCGAGTGCGTGCCCGTCGTGTGGCTGTGTGACGGCGCAGAGGACTGCAGTGACGGCAGCGACGAGGCCAACTGTAGTAAGCAGCTCTCCTTCCCGGTCACAGCGCCCGCCGGCCGGGCCGCCACTGTCACTCGATGTATCTGTCTGTGGTGGTCACCTCTCTGCTTTGTGTATCGCTCTGTCTTCTACCCCGCTCGGCCCACCTCCTCGCCTGTAGAGCACGGCCACTCGGTCTCTCACCCACTAACGCACGTCCCGGCCTGTACCGTAGTCGCTGCACGTCCCGTCCGTGTCTCTGCCGAGAAACGACCGCCCGACGTCGGATCCGTCGACGCTCCCCCCCCCCGTCTCCCCCTCCATCCACTCGGCATTTCTATAGGCTTCTGAAAAGGCACGCTGGCGGTGTCGTCTCCTTTTGGCCTTCACAGCTTGTATGGGCTCGTGTCTCTGATGCGAGTCGTGCGAGCGAGCAAATGGGCGACTACCAAAAGCTGCGAGCGTCAGCCTGCGCCGTTTAATAATGGTCGACGGATCGTGCTGCCGTCGCTGGTAGTTTATGGCCCCAGTTGATCCCGGCTATATTGGCCGGAACTATTTCCTGTTCTGGGAGCCGATTGCTGTCCGATTATATAAATCTCCGGCCGATGTATTGCCGGTAACTGTCTGTTGCCAGCGCTCCATCAGCGGTTTGGCCGGTCGGATGGCGCCCGACCAGCTCCAACACCTCGCCGTGCAATAAATAATGCCGACGCCATAAATGGGGTTCGCAGCTAAGCCGATCCATTTTTCATGCCGGACACTAGGGCCCATTACGGCAGAGTGTTGCCACTTAAATCGCGAGCTGGCCCAGCCGGGACCCCGGAGCGGCGCTGCGCGTCGTGCCAATTCAGCAGAACGGCCCAGCGGCGGCGGCGGAGGCTATGACACCTCTGGGAGGCAGGCCACCGGCGGCTGTTCATCCTATTGGTTCCAGAGTAACCAGGACACCGTCGTGGGCTCCCAACAGACTGGTATTGACAGCTCTTAGCCTGAACTTAGCTCGGAACACGACTCCGCCGGCTGCATAATTGGGACCGTCTGAAAGGTGCTCCTGTAAGCCGGTGTGAAGTGTAAACCTGTTATTGGATTCCCACCGGCTTGCCGGTCTCATATCGCTAGTCTTTTTATAAAGACAAAAGACACATGACTTGTCACGGCCGTCCTCGTGACTGGCTCTTTGCCTCGTCGGGCGCCGCTTGGCCGTAACGGGCCATCTCGTTAGGCCGGCACGGTATCGTCCCGAGGGCGCGCAGTTGGCCACCGCCCACTAACAAATGACCACTGGCCGTCTGCCGGATGACCTCTGGGTCGCCGGTGGTCGTCTGCCTCCCCGGGGGGACAGCGGTGACCGGAAGGTCAGCAGGAGCTCTTCCGCGCACTCAGTCCCTCTCGCCACACAGCTCAGACGCGGTCGTTGCAGGAGAGTCGAGTGGGAAGTCTGGAAGGCCTCTTCTGCCAGCTCAATCGAATTAGGGCTTGCCTTTTGTCGACGGACGGCCGTCGTTGCGCCCTGAGTGGAATGGACGGCACCGCTGTGCTTCGGGCCGTAAAACCGCGCCGTGCGCTGCGCCGACACAGTTGGCGACACTGACGGCCCCGCCGGGCGGCATACGGCGGCCCAGGGGCTCGTGTGCAGACCGATACAGCCGCATTGCCGAGCCTACCGCTCTTCTGCAGAGGCCACGAGTCGAGACAGAGGCCAGACGGACGGTACCGGGTCAACGTGGGCTGTGGAAGAGGATCGAGATGCGGCGATGGACGCTCTCCGCGGGCTGCCAAACTCGGCTCTCTCGGCGAAATAGAGGCTGCTTTTCGGTCAAGTCACGTACTATTGGCTGTCGTTTTGTTGGGGACTGTCTGAGACCACTGCGCTGGCGTCTAGCTGCTATTGATGAGCTAAGTAGCCGTTTCTGTGAGCGATGGGACAGTTAATCGCTATTTTGGATTAACGGAACGCCTTGGGAAATGTATTAAACTGAAATGGTTTGGCTGAAGTACATCGGAAAGTCAATGGTCGTCGAGGCCGTTTTTAGATTTATTGGTGCCGATTGCTACAAATGTAAACTTGAGAGCTTGGACTTTCCCTTTTACTGCATCTTTAGCATGCCTGACTTGGTCCTGGTCTCCGCGATTTGCGCGGAATTTATTCCTGTTCTGTATCATATCGCATCGCGCGGCTGGCGCTCCCGTGGCCGCTGTGGCCAAACATTTCTATGCATTGCCTGCGTGGTATTCAGCAGGCTGGTCTCGAGGGTCGGGTTCTGTCCGCGCCAGGCCAGGCTGTCGAAACCAGTGACACCGATCGACCGCTCGCATCTCATGACCAGCGCTGTTGTTTATGCTCGGATGTTTGATATAGCTTTTTTCTGCACTGTGAGGCTTACGCTATCACTGTGATGAAATGCATAAGGCCCGGTATTTTCTCACGTAAATGCATGTGATCGGATACATCACGGTATGTAGACTATAATATGCCATTTTTAAATGCACATGCAGCCTTGTAGGTTCATATAGCATTGGTGGTTGTAATTCAAATATTTTTATTACTCTTTTAATTTAATCACAGTCATTTGGCCAAATATGCTCCTCGGTCACGATAAAGCTCAACTGTATGTATAACTGTATAGTCCACTGTATGCTGGTCGTTATGAGACGTGCTATGCTCCCTCCCTAGCACCCGTTCGAGGCCCGGTGTGCCCCCTCTGACCCTGCCCGCTCCGTCCACAGCCCAGACGTGTCCAGCCGACCAGTTTACCTGCGGTGACGGCCGCTGTATCAACCAGCGCTGGGTGTGCGACCGAGAGAACGACTGTGAGGACGGCTCCGACGAGCAGGACTGCAAGGTGAGAGTAGTGAGGGGAGAGAGAGTGGTGAGAGCATGGTGAGTGTGGCTAGGGTTAGATTGGAGCTATGACATTGTCTCCAATGGGCTAAATCATCCATCTAATTAATCTGCTTCCATGGTGTCGGCTATTTTTTTTAGCATATATTTACTTTTTTTACTTTTGAACCAGTCACCGTATCTGCTTCCATTATTATCAGGCATTTTTGGTTCTTACGAGCAAAGTGTTTTCTCTTTCACTTTTTAGTACGTGACTTTCGACGATGTAGGTATGCGCCTCGTTGCCCTTTTCTTCATATGCCCCTAAATTCATCACCCATATTTGCATTCCTAGTGTGACGGTCGACCCTGTCCAATTTGTCGTCCGTGGTGCTCCTCTCCCTCATTTCCGCGCGCAGATGACGCTAGGACAGATGTCTCAGACACCGGAGCTCGTATTTATTCAGTCGAGTTTGTCACGGCTGTCGCTCGGGTGTTTCCTTCCGGAGACGCGTCTCCTTCGAATTTACTCGCTCTGTTTCCGACGAAATTCGTCACGTCTAGCGACAGTCTGGCTTGTTTTCAGTTGGCCCAAAAGAGAGAGAAAAACACGAGACCTTCATCAGTTGGCCTTATGAGCCACATTTGCCGGCACCATCTGTCTTGCAAAATGAAATGTGAAATGTTGAGAAATGTAAAATGCCGAATGCCTGTGCCGGCCGGCTCAAAGCTCCCATCGTAATGTTATTGAATGTTGCCCCAGACCCGGAGCCCGCACGCTCCCAGCCTATTGCGGCGAATTGAAAATCTCTGCGCCATCATTGCCAGCTCTTTGGCCGAAGTAATAATCCGAGAATGGCCTATTTGCATATGGGCGTGCAGGCAGATTGGGTTCAGCTCCGGAGATGCCGCGGCGAAATGGTCTGTCTGCCGGCCGAGCTCTGCTCGCCGGCCGTCCCGAAGAGGAATACTGAGATAAGGAAGGAAGGAATACTGAGATAGTGGGCGGGCACCGAAATGCGCGTGTCTGGGCAAAATGATGTTTCTGGGAAGAGGACGATGGTCCTATCTTTTAGCTCCAACCTTAATGACCGTAATATGAAACAATTAGCCCTATTAACCCTCGCCCCGTTGGGGGGGGCCATTTTGGCCCCCCCCCCTGTGGTTTTTCCTGAATAGCAAGAAAACGGCGGCGCGCAGCGCCGCCAAATTTTCAGTACCTTCCCGGGCATCAATTTGACATCTTCACACCAAATTTCAAGTCTTAGGTCACCTTAGGTCAGGAGTTATTGAGGTCAAACTGAGGTCATGTTCGAGCAAAAATGGGCAAAAAACATGCAATCTTGAAACGCTCACCAAATCTACAGTTATCAAGCAATTTCAAAGTTCTCTTTATATGGTCTAGTAGACAAAAAGCGGCGCTACAAAACTGCTATCTCGGATTTTCAAAATTTTTGGTTTTTGACCAAAAAAAATCAAAAAATTGATTTTTTAAGAAAAACTTTGAAAAAATCCAAAAATTTTCCGAATTTCGAAAAAACCGGAATATATGTGATAGTCCCAGCGCTCTTCTATATACATACCAAATTTCAGATCGATATCTCGTTTTTTGGCCAAGTTATAGCGAAAAAACTGTTCAAAAATGATGACGTCAAATTTTTGAACTCAATTTTTAGCAATTCTAGACCACGTACGGCAAAACAAAGACCACCATTGAACTCCCCGTGATGAGCTGCATCGATTCGATACCCATTTTATGCAAAAATATTAACTTTGAAATTTGACCTAATTTGACCTGACCTTGACCTGACCTTGACCTGACCTTGACCAAAACGTGATCTAAGCTGGCCCCAAAGGCTGCCTGACCCATATAATCGCATTTGTCATGTAAAATGGACCATAAAACATGTATCACACGACACTTTCATATTGTGACCCCCCCCGTGACCTGACCTCTGTGACCTGACCTGGTATCAGTGACCTCAAATAGCAAAATATGTGTTTGAAGAATATTTCCCCATCGATGATTTTCAATGAAATGCATTTTACTCGATTTTACAACGCATTTCTTGAAGTGCCTGTAAACGGTGAAAATTGGACCTTTGACCTGACCTGTGACGTCATCGGTTTGACCTAGGTCAATAAAATTGGGTCACAAAGTAGTTCCCCGTTGGGGCTATCCAACGCCGTTTACCGCTTGTCGCTATGTTGCGTGGTTCTCGAGATCTTAGGGGGGGCCAAAATGGCCCCCCCCCCCCCCAACCGGGCGCGTTGCTCGGCAGAGCCCAACGGGGCGCGGGTTAAAAAGATACACGAAAGCCAGAGAAGACAGAACGATCCAGTCTTATTTGTCTCGCCGTCTGATGGCTTCTTTCCCAGCGATGTACCGTCTGTTGCCACAGTATGCCGTCTCATGCAGAAGAAGCGCGTCTCGGCTTCTGACCGTGTCTCTCTTCCTCCGTTTCAGCCGACCACCTGCAGCCCCGATTCCCAGTTCACCTGTGCCAGCGGAGAGTGCATCAACCTGAGCGCGCGCTGCGACGGTGACCGCGACTGCCACGACGGAAGCGATGAGAAGGTGAGAGACGACGATGTTGTCGTGGTGCATCTCTAAAAAAGGAAAAAGAACAAGAAAAAGGACATAAGCAGCACCCGTGCTGTCAAAGAGATGAGATATTGAAAAGGCTCCTCTATATATACGGCTTAGAGAGATATGACCTTGACCACATTACGTGTAAATGCGATTTATCGTCATATGAGCGATCGATTGAGACTTGCAATAGTGCAGCTGTAATATGTTTCGCACAAACAATATTAGATTCAAGCGTTTGTGTGTTCTTACTTCTCCCTTAACTCTTTTACGTTTGTAGTTTTATCTCGTGTGACTTCAGCGCTGTGCGCTCTACGAGTATTTCGTGTTGTTTTTCGCCGGTATTTGCGGCCGGTGCTGTGTAAGGGGTGGCGTATCCAGGTCAGGAGGCGCAAAAGTGCCGAGTCGGCTGAAATCCAGTCACGGCGCGACCTCCCATCTGCGGTGTTTATCTCTAATGGCTCCTCGGAGCTCGGTGGCGCACCTTCCGCGAATCGAGCGTCCTTGTTTGTGAAATATCTCCGGCCCAAAGTTCGGCCTGTTTCAGTTTGGTTGCAATGAGTTTGGAATGAATTACGTCCCAGAAAGTTTGTGGGCTCATTTCAGCACTAGTTTTTCCGGCCTTTGACGTTTTCACGACTAGGCCTGTTTTTCTCGGTGTGTAGCGTCGTGTAATTGGGACCAAATTCGTTTGGTGTATGAAAGGATTGTGAACAAGTTCCTTCGTTAACCCACGAGCCGCTGGGGGGGGGGGGGCATAAAGTTGCCCCCCCTTTACGTTTTGTGAAATATCTCCGAAACCTGATGAGCTACGAACGTGAAACTTGGCATAGCTTCAAATGAATACCTAGGCAATGTTTGAGGAAAGTTTGGTGGTTGTAGCACCTAAGATGACGTCACAGTGACGTCATAAAGTTTTGTCGTTTTCCGATATGGACCGTTTCTGATGACGCTAAGCATGAAACTCGACTGTAAATGAACTAGACAGCACCTGCTGTCATCCTAAAACATCTTTCTACACTTCCATCTAGTTTCTGACCAATAATCGGCCCTTAATATTCGGTCCCATATATGTGCTGTATCGCGAGGAATATGAGAGTCGCAAATCTATAATTTCACTTATGACGTCACTGTGACGTCATATCAAATGGGATCGACACCAAATTTGGACACAACCTCGGCTAGGTATTCAGGAAGATGTGTGCAAAGTTTCGCTTCTCTATCTCTTCGCGTTGCGACGATATCGTCGCAGAAGTAAAGGGGGGGCAACTTTATGCCCCCCCCCCCAGCGGCCGGCGGGTGGTGCGGAGGCCCAGCGGCCGCCGGGTTAAGATGCTGGTGTGGCTGTTCACCATTTTATTTGGTTAGCCTCAATCAAACGGGCCCGTTTATGTGATGACTGATCAATTTTAAGACGAATTTTGAACTGTGCAAATGTAAAAAATTCCTCTATTCCTAAGTTTATGCATTGCTGCGACGGCGTCACCATCGACTTCAGACTTTGACCTTGGTGCCAGCGATAGTCATCGAGTAAATTTGTCTCTGGAACGATTTTCATTACACGCTCCAACTCCAAAATGGAAATTGAGCCCGTATTATATCCATCACTGGTGTCAATGCCTGCCAGGGGTGGTGATTTATTTGCTCGCTTACGCCGTGCGCCGGCATCATGATAAACCATATAGCAAATGCTCGAATCCTCTTGAATACAGATGCAGCCAGCAAAATGATTCGGCTTACTTTAGATTCGCCCAGAAGGCAATGCATGGGTAATAGGACTCTGGCTATGGATTTCCCGTTTGTGGTTGAAAAATGTTGGTCTCTCGTGGCTAAAATTGGGAGAAGCATGTGAGGGTGATGTTTTCAGAAACAACGAACCGTTTTAAACTCGGCCGCAGCTGCCATGCGGACGAAATTATGTCGGGCTGTGGCTGATAGCGTCGTCGGAGTTCGCGACTCTTGGACCGAACTTAAGTGCTCTGCTTTATACTCGGCCGTGAGCAGCCGTATCTGGTTATGGCCGGCCTGCTGCCCCTTGTCTCTCCCTTAGGGTACATTCGTGTGCTCTTTTCCTCCCCCCTGGGATAATCTCTGCGCCACCTCTCCTTTTCCCGGCGGTAGGAACAGTTATCCTGGCGCTGGCTAATGAGGTGTTTGCCGCGGCGGCGCTGTAATGGCTCACCGGAGCTCGTCCGCCGTGGCCGCCGCTACCTGCCCCCCTCTACCCCCCCCCCATCGACCCCCCACCGACCCACCTAACCAGGGCTAAGGCTGATTACCCCAGTCCTGTCTGAATGCCAGGGAGGAGTGGTGCCAGACAGGACGTAACGAGTGGCACTGGAGCCGAGAGAGGTGTGTTTGTGTATGTATAACTCCTCTCGGCTCTCTCTCCGCAGTGTGTCTGACGCTGCACCGCGCTCTACCTCTCTCTGTCTGACACTGCCTGCTCTCTCCCCGCAGGACTGCATCCTGGACGATCACTCTGTGCCCAGCAGCGTATGCACACCGGGGGAGGTACTCTGTGACGACCAGATCACCTGTATTCACCGCAGCTGGATGTGTGACGGCGCTCAGGACTGTCCACATGGCTCCGACGAGGATCCCGCCAAGTGAGTACCGAACATATCCAGCTACTGAGCTCCGCTCCGATGATATCTACAATCTGGGCGTCAAAAATCCCGACGCGACATTCAAAGGTTACAGGTCACCGACCACTGCATCTTTCCAAACGATGACATTTGACAATTTATCACGGGACACGGCAGATGATTCTAACACTGTTCGGGGCTGCCAAAGACACAGCACGGCCTCACTTTGAAACTGGCCTTCTGGTCTGTGTCTTTTGTCATTTCGCTCTGCCAGTCGTATATCCATATTCTTTCGCTGAGTTTTTTGTGTTCACTCGAAGTATGGAAGCTCCACCAATACCTCTTTCCAACGCTTGCAGCCAGTATTTTGCGTGGCCTGGAAGATATGGCAACATCTCTGAACCCATTTGGCCTCCGAATTTATGGTGGAATCTGGAATAAGTTCTTGGTACGTGGATCTTGTGACCTTAAAATAAGGTTTCCTGGAGCCATTCCTCTTTCGTTCACCAACTCATTAGCTCATTCTTCATGGCATCTTATCATGGTTCTGTTTGAAACTAAATTAAAGGTAGTGTGCCACCTTTGAAAGATTTCCCATTTTATTTTTCCTAGGATAAGAAGCTTCTGTTTTTACCTAATATCGCAAAAAAAATCAAAAATGGGCCTGGAATAGTGCCTTTTTCGCCTAAAAGTTTATCGGTTTTTAGATATGTATAACAACTGTAGTGGGCTCACCTGCAAACAGGCGTCGGCAACAATCGCGAATGCGGCGCACATGTGACAATAAGCAAAGGTCATTATAGTGTTACGACCATACGACGTACGGGAATGAGTTATCAGCTGTCTAATCGTAGACAACACAATGTCGAGCCTTAAACTGTAAGCCTGTATTGGTATTGTTTCTTTTATTTGGCTGTCGACCATTATTTATGGTTTGAAATATGATTTTATGTAAAATAATTGATATGAAAAAGCCGCCTCATAAGTTATGACCCCATTTCACCACACGCAAGTGGCAGAAATGACAATGATCAGCTGACGCATTTTTCTTGGCCGAAGTCAAAGCGCGCAGCCCGACGCACCACCACCGCACCACAAAGTATGAGCAGAAGCCGCGCCCAAAGCCAGGGCCCCGGTAACGTGAGGTAGCCGAGTCGGGGCAGCGTGCGCTGACCCAAGCCGGGGCCGCCGCTTTGGGCGCGGTCTACCGCATCCCCGCGGGCAGCCCCGGGCTATCACATGACACCGGGAGGACGCGCGGCTCCGGCTTGGGTCAGCGCACGCTGCCCTGACTCGGCTACCTCACGTTACCGGGGCCCTGGCTTTGGGCGCGGTCTACCGCACCACCTAACAGGCGTGTTCGAAACCGCAGGAGCTGATGATGAACGGGTTTATCGAAACTTGATTGGATGAGCATATCGGTAATAGCGATTTCAGTGTGTGCATTTATTGTTCATAGTGGTGTGAAATGTGGTTGGGGTACGACCGACAGCCCGTCGGGGCGAATTTCGCACTGGGGTACTCAAAATTTGAAGAATTTAAGACGTTTCCATGAGTTTTGAAGGTATGGATAAGTTCTAAAAATCCGGTTCTCCTTATCTGGGCCATTAACTCCATACGGTCCAGGAAAGCTGGCACACTACCTTTAAAACTGCATAATGCTGGCAATATCTGTGCAGAAATAGCTAAGACGCTGAATGTATAATTAAGAGGAAGGCTTTCGTCTAGGCAATTTACTTCGGTGAATACTGCGAAGGACGATGCCAAGAGGCTAATTAGCAAAATTAAGTGGCTGCGAGTGAAACTTTATTTCTGGGGCCAAATCTTTAATGGAAATCAATGTTCGTTCCGAACTATTCGTCGGCCTGATTTCCTCTCTGGGATGACGTGGTCTGCCTTTGGCGCTGGCCTAGCTGACGAGCCCGGATGCGCTGAGCTCGTGAGCTCTCTGTGATGTGTGTGACTGTTGGCGGTCAGTCGCGGTCCTCTGAACTGCCGGCCTCTAACGCTAATTAGTCGGACTCGCAGCCCTGTCATGGCCGTCCCACCGAGCGGTGGAGCCCGGCGGCGCGACGGAGGTAGGAATTAAGCCCGGCGACTCGACAAGCTGGGGCCGCGGTCCGATTCTGAGTCGACAGGCACTCTACTGGCCAGTGGCCAAGATATTTGTCGGCGTTAGTGTTCAGACCAGGGAGCCACCGGCCCGGAACGCCGCTGCTACCGCCCGCCTGGGGACTACAAATTCGACCAGATATACCGCCGCACATCAACTTTTCCGGCGATCCGAGCTGTAGCCAGTAATTGAACAACTTCCGGGGGCGGTAGCGACCGCCTGTGTCACGGAAAGTTGGCCGCTCGGCCCTCGGGAAGACTAGGGACGCGGCTGCTATATTGCAGGAGTCTCCAGCTCGTGAATAATTCCAGTTCATGGACCCGCGGACCGTCAGTCTAGCCGGTTAATTATTCTGCTGGGATTAGCGGTGATAAACGCAACTTGAAATTACCGAAATGTGAAAATTGCGTCATCAATTGTTCATAATGGCATTGTTGACTGGCACTGTATGCATTAATGACTTTACCGGCATTAACTCTTGCCATTCCATCATGGTCGAATGAGGTTATGAGGTTGCATTAAAGTTCACTTTGAGGTAGCCTTTGCATATTGCTCGTCAGAGTCGCGTGGCTACGTTAAATACGTAAAATGTATACGTCAAATGTATTCTACGTCTTTGTATTCACGTCAGATGGTGGTTAATGGTCTGACCTGAAGTGACCTCACAGGAGCCACCCTGACCCAGTAGGTGCATTCCACCTGTGTGTCGCTAATGCAGATTTCACTACGTGACCTCGTGTGACCTCACGTGACCCTCCCTGACCCGACAGGTGCACCCCGCCCGTGTGCCGGGACGGAGAGTTATACTCCGTGACCTCAGGTGACCTCAGGTGACCCGCCCTGACCCGATAGGTGCACCCCGCCCGTGTGCCGGGACGGGGAGTTATACTCGGTGACCTCAGTTGACCTCAGGTGACCCTCCCTGACCCGACAGGTGCACCCCGCCGGTATGCCGGGACGGGGAGTTCCAGTGCGGCGGCGTGTCCGAGTGTATCGCCAGGAAGCTCGTCTGTAACGGTGCCGCCGACTGCCGCGACGCCAGCGACGAGGCCAACTGCAGTGAGTTGCTTATTTCATGATAAAAATGATATGTTTGTGCTTTTATGTATTGTTGAGACTGTCGAGATATATGCCGATGAGTAGACCCGCCATCGCTGCGCCCTTCCTCTTCGGAGCTCGGTAGGGCTCTCCATTGTTTTCTATGCAGAGCTCTCTAGAGCTCCCCTCTCCCTCGCTTCCACCACCACAGCTACATTGTCTTCTCACCCATATCCCGGTATGCACTACATCCCCGTCCTCTGTTTGCCAGTCCCCTGTCATTATTCTCTTCCGCACCCGGCTCTCCGTCCCCTCCGTGACTCGCTGCTCGGGAGATGTAATATGGTCTCAATGGTGTGGAATAATTCAGATTTGTTGGCCGAGGTGAATTATGCGATGCCATTGACGGGATATGAGGCCGCGAGCTCCATACCGGATAATGCGGCTCATATATGCCGAGAGAATGGGCTCATGAGTCGACCATCTCTGTGTCATCGCTCATCCCCGGCTTATCTTTCGGCCGCTGTTCTTTGGATCTCCTTTCTGCCGTTATGACTGACCTTTCGGTGCCGAATGCTGACCTATCTGGGCGGCTCTCCGGTGTCGAAGGCTGGCTTTTCACGGCGCTCAGCGGCGAGCTGTAAAGGCGGATCCTCGCGGCGGGTGTGCGCCCCTGATCCTCTGTCCGTCCGCCCTGAGTGGGCTGTGTGAGCCGCCGGCGATAGCCACCGGCTCCGTCCGCCGGCGCCGCTGTCACCGTCTTTTTAAACCGAGCTCGGCTGGCCGCTCACGTCAGCCGTCTGAAATGGACTGGAAGCCGCGGCCGGCGCCGGCAAGCCGCAAACAAAGGCTGTGGCCCGGCCCCGGTCAGTGGGAGGCTGTTCTTAGTGGACGTCCGCTGCTGGTGCTCGCGGTGTAGAGTCCGTTACCGCCGCCCTAAACTCGACGAGACACTTTCAGAGTGGTCCCGTGGCGGACCTGGCATTGTTAGCGCCGTGTCTGTGGTCGCTTAGGTGATAAACCTCCTGTCCATGGACACTCGGACCGAGTTGGGAGCGCCACAGTGTCTGGTAGTGGCGGCCGTCTGAGAGCGTTTCACTGCTCATTCCGACCATCTGACCGTGATTGTATGACCGCTGCCGACTCCCGGTGGCTGGCTACGACCTCTCCCTCACCGGCGGCGGTGGCCGCGTGACCTCTCCGCTGACCTCTGCCCGTCTCTGTTTCAGCGGTGACCCCGCCCTGCGACCCGGACCAGCAGTTCAGCTGTGCCAACGGTCGCTGTGTGCAGATCGAGCAGGCGTGTGACGGCTCAGACGACTGCGGCGATGGCTCGGATGAGAGCGATCTGTGCCAGCTCAATGAGTGCTCGCAGAATAATGGCGGCTGCAGTCACGGCTGCCGCAACCAGCCGGTCGGGCACAAGTGCTACTGCCCCAGCGGATACCGGCTCATGGATGACCAGCGCACCTGTGACGGTCAGTGGCGCGACGGAAACGAACGACGGCGCGCGGGAGACGAACAATTACTTGTTAGATGTTTGATGCATAAGCTGTCCGTTCTATCAGTTCAGTTTAGATTAATCGTGTCCTTTTGCTAGAATTTGCGCGAATGGTATGAGATATAACACATTACTTTGGATTTGGCAATGTAATTTTGCACCTCTTTCATCTTCCGCAATTATCTGTCAGTGCTCTGCGGATTAAAGTGTCTGGCTTTGTTTAGGTTACCCCGGGCGGCGATTTGTGTCGCAGTTTAATTAAAACCAGAATAGATGATACGGTTTCCGGCCATTGACATTGATATCGCAGCCGTCGTTGACGTTATCTGGTTACATTATACAAGTCAGCCGTGCTCACAGCACTGACTCAACAAACAAGCTATCGTCTCTCCCATGGGATGAGAGCTAACCCTCCCCTCTCTTCCTGCGGCAGATATTGACGAGTGCCAGATCCCCGGGTCGTGCAGCCAGACCTGCATCAACACCAAGGGCTCGTACAAGTGCGAGTGCCTCGAGGGATACATGCGTGATCCGGCCGACCACACGTTCTGCAAGGCGGTGGAAGTGCACGCATCACTACTGCTCACTCACATGTAAGTGTCGATAGATAGGTCGATAGACCTCAGAAGGGACGGGTGGAGTCGGGTCGGACTCGGCAGCAGGTGGGTGGATGGATGGTCGGCGCCGCTCGTCACTCTTGGCTCGCCGCTCGCCGCCCACGTCTCTGCGGTCCATCACGGTGCTCCGTGGCGCCCCTCTGCCGCTCCGCCGCCGATGGAGCTCGGAAGTCGTAACCTTTGTTCCGGTGGCGCGGTGAGATCGATGACCGGCCGAGCCGTCGGCGCTGAGGCACAAACCGGCATCGCACCGTCAATCTCGGCCGGCAACTTGGCCGCGCCGACCTTTGCGACGCCCATGGCCACGGTTGTTTGGCGGCGCCTAGCTGAGTGAGTAACTTTGTCTACCGACACGGCCTGGCGCCGGTCTCAGCGGGATGCGCCGGCCGGCCGAGTGCGGGCTCTGATGGCCAGTTGGCGCTATCTGGGTGATTTACCGAGCCAGCTGGTGGAGTGATCGGCGCAGTCATTACTTCGTCAAACCTCTGGGGAGGGAGAGAAATACCTGCAGCCGCAGAAAGTCTGCGAAAGTGAGGGGGGAACTTTGGGTAGTCCCTTGGGTAGAAGCTGAATGGATTGAAAAAGTTTCTAACGTATTATTGGTATTCCTGGAAACCCACTGCTGCCACTGAGGTCTTGCCTCTTCCTATTTCTCTGCACTTTAAGTCTAGTCGAACCTTGCATTTATTTCCTGAGGCGTCTGATCGCTCCGCGCTGATCCAGGCTGCCCCGGTCGGCTGGTCGGCAATGCCGGCCGCCGGCGCCGGGCGTCTTGATTAGCCCCGGGGCCAATCGGCCGTGTGCCCGTGATTTACCGCTCGGTCGACCATACATCCAGCGTCACGCGGCCGTCCGCGGCGCCGAACGCTCTCTGATTAACCCCCGGCCGCCGGGTCCCTGATCGGGAGGGCGCGTGGAAGGGCACCACACCGCCGGGCATCTGTAATGGAGTGATTCGGGGAGGCGGCCGGCAGGTCAGACTACCGAGAGGCGGTATTTTTGGAACGGCCCTGAGCCCGACACTGCAGAGATCTGTCCGATGCCGCGGGGATTCAGAACGCTTCGCTGGGCTGAATGGCACCGCTGGCTACGTGGTTGGGTCGGTTCAAGTGCAGGAGTCTGTGCCAACGACTGGAGACCTTTATCTGTTAATTGAATCTGGTGCGGATTCTGTCGTCAGGTCGGTTACCACTCGTCAGGTGGTGTCGTTGCTGAGGCTCCCTGTCCTTTAATTAAAATTTGTACGAATTTACTTTATATGATTGCGCTATGGATGATTTTTATTTGCATAAAATACCCTCAGATCTAAAATGATCAATTTCCGTTCTTTGTGTCCGATTGTACCTAAATATATAATGTATTAGAGGCTCAAAGTTACGCAGCTTCATCAGCTTGTGAAAAGCTCTTTCGGTTCTCATTTCCTCTGCTGAATGCACCCTGGGCATTGCCGCCAGAGTCAATATTCCACGAATGAATATAAATATTTCTGTGGAATTTCCACATTAGTACGCGGACTGTCGTGAATGCAGACGCTCATGTACTACAGGTAGCCATGTCTTTTTGCCATTGCTAACCAGTGCCGTTGTGCGCTGGTTCCCTTCATCCCGCAATCTTTACAGGAACAATATACGAACTAATTTGGGCGCCGGAGGCTTTCGTGTCTACCTCTGGTACTGACGCGTGCTTTGTTATTATAGTTACGTTGTACCACAAAGCAAAGGCGCTAAATGAGACCCGACTTCAAAAGAAGTTTTTGCTGAGGAGGCGACCTAGATGGAAGCTTGTAAGGGAAGCTCTGTTTTTGTCATGTCGGCCTGCAGTAATGGATGACGGCGCCGCGTCAGGCCCAGGGATGTTGTTAGCGATAGTGACCGCCGGCCGGCCGGGCCGAGATTTAGGGCTGGACTGCGGCCAGCGGCGGTGGAGGTCCTGCTGGCTCTATCGGCTCCTGTGAGCGGTATATCTGCCGGGCCGTGAGCCGGCGGCCTGACAGCTGGCTCCAGTTGAGCAGTCAGACACAGATGTGGGCCGGCTGACCGACCGGCCGGCCCGGCGGGCGGGGTGTGATTATAGTCACCACCTGACAGGCGGACAACTGGTGCCGATTGTCGGTCACACCCACGGCACGCCCCCGTTAGGCACGGAATTCCGAGAGCTCTCTCCCTCCCCGCTCCGCCCTGCCCCGTTCAGCTGGTAAGTGTTCAGCTGCGGGCATATCCTGGCGTCAGGATGCGATGTTAGCAGTGGTATCAGATGCATCGCGCCCACTACTCACTGGAAATGATGCCTCTCTGATCTCTTTGCCAATATTCCGTTCTATTTCTATCGCCCTGTGCTACCGTATTTTATTTAGAATATATTTTCGGTAAAACTGCGCTGTGGATGTTAAACGACTGGCTAACCCATCTGACCGTGTGCCCTCAGGACCGATATCCGGAAGGTGGGCCTGTACCAGCGTGAGATCACCGAAATTGTCAACAACACCCGTGTGGCGACGGCCGTCGACTACGAGTTCCGCACCGGCATGGTGTTCTGGTCGGACCTCAGCGACAACCGCATCTACAAGTGAGTTCCTCAGAGAGTTAGGCGGGGGAGGGGCACTCAGCGACAACCGCATCTACAAGTGAGTTCCTCAGAGGGTTGGGCGGTGGTAGGGGGCTCGTCGACGCTCGCATCCGTCCTGACCGCTCGGCCGAGACGCGTCCGGCCGCAGAGGGCCGGCCGAGCGCCGAGCCAATCTGAGGCCGTCCTGACGAATGGCACCGGCCACTTTTTGCTGGCCGGGCGCAATGGAGCGTTGGAGCTGTCGCGGCTCGGACCGCCTTTGGTGGGAGCTGGCGCAGCCGTCTGACAGAGCTGCGGCAGCCCCGCGGCGCCGGCTGCGCCCGCAGAAGCGGCGTCTGGGGAGCGTATTTGCCGCCGTCGCCGCCGTAATGGGATTTCTGGGTGACGGGTGATGACGCACTGCCGCTGCCGTGTCGTCGAGAACACCCTCGGGGGAGTGGGAACGTAATGTCGCTCCAGCCTGGCGCAGCCCGGCTGAGCAGATACATACCGTGTGGTGTGACACAGTCACAGTCGCGCCCACGGAGGTATTACAGCGTTCCGCTGATACACCGCCGGAGGCTGATACTCGGTCCGACCTGACCTGCGGGCTGTCTGGCTATGATTGCCTGTGCTCTGATCGGTTTGTCCGCGCTCCGGGTGAGGCGGTCCGTCGGCCGTCGGTCACTCGGTACAGCGGCCACGGCTGCGGCGTTAGATAGAGCCGGTCCGGTGTTAATTACAGTAATGGGCCGGCCGGGCGCTGGTGCGCGGAGGCGAGTCGATGGGAGCGCTTTGAAGAATGAGAGGAGGCGCCGTGTAGGAGAGCGATGGTGGCCGTCTAACGATGGAGAGGGAGGTTAGGGATGGGAGATACTGAGCAGTGGTAGCAGTGTCTGGTGTGACGGTGGTATTAGATGGGAGGCGTCACGCAACGCTGCCACGGTCTCCGCCTCCGGGAAATCAGTTGGTGTCTGTATGAGGTATGGTCAATGGTGTCTCTTATGACGGTCTTTTGTGGCGCGAAGGGAGGTGTGCTGTATGAGATCAGTAGTTCAGTCATTCATCCCCGAGAAGACTGCGTTAGTTGAGTTAGATTCACGGCTTTGATGTCTTCTCAGATCAGTCTTATGCTATTAGCTGCGTTGGCCAGTGGCCTCCTTTCTGAGGGTATGTGAGTGGTGTCATTTCCAGACATTTCTACGCCGCGCTGTCAAACATCAAACATCTTGTGATGTGTCCTAATCTCACATCCTAGGAGCACATCCAACGAGCCTGTGGATGACAGAAGCTGTCCGTGACTGTCGCCAGTGCTCACTGATGTCTACACTGTCCCAGAAACGAGCGTGTCTAACCCAAATGGCGTGACTGGGTGGCGTGCTGACGTGTCTGACTCGAGCTAAGTTACAACCACTGCTTTGTGTCGTGACCGAATATTGGGCTCCTGTCACGAACCCTGGGAAATTCGACGCCACCCTAGAGCGGATGCTCCATGTGGTGTCCTACAGCGCTGCAGAACTTTTGCAGCAACGTGTCACTTCTTAGTTCTGTCTCTGCTGGCGCGTGTGAGTCACGATTGATCCGTTGAGTCGATGAGTCGATGATCTCCGATGGCTACGTGACCCTTGTTCTGACATTACATTTCCTTTGACTCGCAGAGCGCCGATTGACGAGGGAGCGGAGCGGACGGTGGTCGTGCGGAATGTGAACGCCGAGGGTCTGGCCGTCGACTGGCTCTACCGCCACCTCTACTGGATTCACGTGGAGAAGGACAACCACCGCATCGAGGTGTCCGACCTGGACGGCAACTACCGCGCCACACTCATCAGCAAGGACCTGATGAAGCCCCGCTCTATCGCTGTCGAGCCCATCGAAGGGTGAGTTGACTTTAGATTAGGCAATGTGGGCTGTGCTGATGGGTTATTTCCAGACTTATTTACATATTATTTACAGTTTGAAGATGGTTTTGGCAAGCAACTGTCAGGCCTCGCGGCGCCTGTTAAGACTTTTAACCTCCTGAGTGCTGATTACCTGTGTGTGTGTGTGGGTGGGTGGGGGGGGGGGGGGGGGGTATGTATCTTTTTGTCGCATGACGATGCTGAATAAACAATAATAATAATAATAATAATATTGAGAGAAGTCTATCGTTATTTTGATGTCGATGGCTAGTCGCGGATTCAATGGTATCAACTCATCAGTGCGTAAATGGATAATGCTAGATAAAACACACGGTCGATAAAAATATTGCTTTCCTTTCATTCAACCGCAGCTGGCAGCAGACATGAAAACACTAAGCGGGCTCATATGTTATTCGTTCGGTCCTAATGTTCAATCTGTATATTGTTGAACATTTGCTGATCACGGTACGCCTCCGTTTGGACGTTGCTCACGCGCCACCCGTCCTCCACCTCCACAGCTGGATGTTCTGGTGCGACTGGGGCGAGAACCCGCGGATCGAGCGCGCCGGCATGGACGGCAGCCGTCGTCAGGTCGTGGCCGACACGCGCCTCCAGTGGCCCAACGACGTCACGCTAGACCTGGTGAAGCGCCGCGTCTACTGGGTGGACGCCAAGCTGAAGCTGATCGAGAGCGCCGACCTGGACGGAGCGAACAGGCGCATCATCATCAGCAGCGGGAACACGCTCGACCATCCGTTCGCCATCACCACATTCGAGGACTCTATCTTCTGGAGCGACTGGAACAAGATGAGCCTCTTCAAGGCTAACAAGTTCACCGGCTCGGCTGTCACCAGCGTGGCTCCCACCGGCAAGGTAAGAGGTTGTTACGATTTTGACTTTTGCAGCCAGTGTTGTATGATTATGCATATTTGAGACACTACCACAAGCTGTAAATACGACGTTTCTTGATATGCTGGTGTTTTATCATTATTTCTATCCAATGTCTACTCTGCCGTTCTGTGTTTGACCCTTTCCGCTACCGCTGTCCCACAGGTTCAGTTCCCGCTGGTTGTGCGCGTGTACCACCCGTACCGTCAGCCGAACGGCACCAACCACTGTCTACCCATCAACGGACAGTGCTCGCACCTCTGTCTGCCGGCGCCGGCGAGCGACGAGCAGGGCGGCCGACGGACGGGCTGCGCGTGCCCGGCCGGTCTGCGACTGACCCAGGATGGTCTCACCTGCACCGAGAGAGGTCAGTGGCGGAGACGGGGTCACCGTGGGGACGGTACGGGGTCACAGGCCATTGGGGATGGCGAGAGGCTATTAAAGTCACGGTGGTTGGTGGCGAAGGGTTGTGAGGTTCACGGACTGACAATAAGAGGTGAACGGGTTTGCCGAGGCAAGGCTCACACCTACAGCATGTGGCATGTGAATATTAATGCATACGGCACGGTTTGGTTGTGGGTACTGACGCCAGTTGGATGAGGGGGCAGGCTGCACTGGCGTTGTCCTCCCGTCTTTTGCTGGAATATAAATGGTGTGGTAGACCTGTCCTGGTGGCGTGGTGTTTCTAATTGTGGCGTAAGGTTCCGCCGCATGTGATCGTAACAAGTACGTGATTTTAGTTACGTTTGCTGGAAGCATGCGTGCACGTTTGTTTTACCCTGTAATTATCGGACGTTTGTTTTTTTTTTCGGCCGGATGGTTATGTCTCGTTTATGTTCCCTTTCAGGAACGCATGACAGGTCTGGGAACAACGGAAAAGAGCCGCACTCGTTTGGCATGCTTAGGACCGTCTCTCCCCTGGCCACACTGGATGTTACCCATCCAAACGCCACCGCCCTCGCCGTTCAGTCTCACTCCGAATTCGCCCATCTGCAGGCGCAATCCACGGTTTATCCCGAGGCGCGATTCACTATTCTAAGCCATATCGGCGGCACCTCTTCTCCCGCTGACCACATGATACCGTCAGCGTCAGACGTTGCGCTTGCCTCCTCCATTCCTCCCTCCTTCCAAAATCCTGACCCTTTACTTTCTCCCACGGAAGGTCCGCCCACCTCCTCCATTCCTTCATTATCCACATTTTCTCATCCTCTTTTACCAACTTCAGAAGATGCGTCTGTCTCCCCCATTTCCCCATCCTCTTCAGTCTTGGTCTCTGCGACATCTGAGTCGCAATCGTCACCGTCTGTGGATAGTATCTCCGTATCCACCGTAGTAAACGCCACCGCACCACACCTCCACTCTGACACCTCCGCGTCCGTCACCGACCTTCCCACGCAGCTGTGGGGCTTCCGTCCCCCGGCCCCACGTCCTCGCGCCGCTATATCGGGAGAGGTGTCCGGCTCACCCCCTGACGACAGCGGAGAGAGCACCGTGGGCCTTCCTGCACAAACGCAACCGGCGCCGGCAGACAGCGACGGTACGGCATGGGTGCCGGGTTGTGGATGTGGATGTGGATGTGCATAAATCATGCATGCATATTTGCTGGGTATTGGATATAAACTGGGATACTAAACTGGACACTTAACTGGGATACCGGTGATTGGTTTAATAACTCATTTGTTATTGGAGGGGAAAGGAGTGTATGTACCTCTCTCAGAATATATTGCTCACTGGCCTACGGCTTTAACTGGGGGTCTGATTTGATGGCATTGGGGAGGGATGGATAATGCTTCTCTCAGGAAGTTCGTCGTCGTTACACGTGTCGGTGAACCCCAAAGTTCTGACCGTTCATGAGTCGCTGAGTAGAGTCCCAGGGCAGCTAGTATCATCCCCCGTTAAAGTTTCCGATCATCTTCCGAAGTTCATGTACCCGTATTTGATCAGCCGCGAGTTTTATTAGTTTTGTTGATAACTCTCCAGTCGAACCCGCTGACCCTAGTTCGTTGAACCATTGTCGCTCTCGGCATCTGTGTACCCTTACTCTGCCCCGCACTATCCTTGCATGCCTCTTTCTTTTCCTCCCAGCACCGTCTTCCTTTCTGTTACGACTGACACTCCGTTCCGTCTCCAGGTGTGAAGACCATCGGCGCGCCCAAGGTCACCTCCCACCCGCGGCAGACGGCACCCGATGGCGGGTCGTCATCCGCCTTCCAGGAGTCCGCCTCGGATGGCGTCATCGCCGGCGTTGTCATCGGCGGCATCGCCTTCCTCTTCATCGTCGTGGCCGGGGTGAGTGTGGGGCGATGACGTCAGTTCCCCGGTGTACCACCGGCCTCTGGAATACGAATCAATATTGCACACGCCAACGTTTTCACAGAAGCAACGTACACAATGTGTTCCAAGCACTGTTTGCATTGTTAAAGTTTTAGAAACTGCGTAGGCAGTCGGGGAGGGTAGGTAGTGGGAGCCTATTTGTGCTTCTATGCTAGCCCGATATCTATGGAACTAAATCTCTGATAAATACGCCATTCAAAGACCAGTGTTTGCAGAATTGAACTGCGAGCTCACGACGTCGTCCCGTTGTCTCGTTTACAGCTCCTTTACATGATGTACCGTATGGACCCGAGTCGGTTCCGTGGCTTCCGTAACATCGATAACCCCATCTATAAAAAGACGACCGTGGACGGAATCAAGTTGGAAAAGTCGCGGAGTCCCGCTCATGCTGGAAGGGGCAATGAGGAGGTAAGAACAGCCGCCCCTTCGCGCAGTCAGCGTGGGGCTATCGATATTACTGGCGTATGGTTAGCTTCTGCAGCCGGCGTTGCTTTGACTTTCTGCGATGATAGTACCACGCTTGCACTCACTGCCGCCGTAACGCGTTGCCTCTGTGGCTGTCGATGAGCTGACTGAATGAACTCACAATTGCTCACCGCACTCACTCACTCACTAACTCACTGTCTCACCAAACAAAGTCGTCACTCACTCCCAGCTCACAGTGTGTTGCCACTGCTTACACGGGCACTGGTCTGTCTGTGTCCCGTCTGTCCTCTGTGGTGTGTGACTGACTGAGGACCCCCTGCCCCCCCCCCCCCCCCCCCGCTGCGGCCGCAGCTGAGCGTTGAGTCAATGCTGGTCAGTCATGTGTGCTGAAAAAGCCACGAAACGGTAAATGGCTGCCACCGTCACTGCATGCTTGTTCAAATGCTTTGATCCGTGGACTGACTCAGTTTCCGGAATGACTGAGCTTGGACGGGATTTCGGTGATGGTCAGCGCAAATTTCGGTCTTATTTTATTATTTTATTGACGTGTCGAAATGTTCATAGACCTTTGTAAGCCGTATTCAGAGGTCTATGATAAGGTGAATGTTTGACATGGCTATGGGAATCCATTATGAAGCATGTCGTACCCTGGTCTTTTATTTTTGTTTGATATTGATTTGATGCGGCTGTCGTCTTATAAGAAAAACTTATTTGATTTCTTGTACGTAGTTAGATTCCATTCCAGCTTCGTTTCGATTGATTGGTTCCTACATTCACTGTAATGTTGATGATTGTGTTGGGATAAGATTCGAGACTGAAGAATCTGTGTGGTTGAATATTGCTAGTATGCTTTTGTAGAAGCACGACTGGACCAATTACCCTCAGCCCTTCTATTGCAACCAACAATTTGTTACATTTTAATGCAATTTTGTCTAAACGGATTGGGCGTACACGGGCCCTCCATAAGTAGGTAGTTCATCCCGCTTACAGCTGTTGATGATGTATGCTTCCTTATTACCCCGACCCATCAATATGAGCCGCAGCGCCGCGCCCGTGTTAGAGCCGTACTCTGTGACCTCCGAGGTGACCCTTCACGTCTGACCTGACCCCCCTCTGTTTACAGAGCATGCAGCCGCTCAACAGCCGACCGCAGCACGTGGTCTGAACACCGGCCCACCTCCTTCTGTGATACGCCCACGCACCTGGGGCCGAGGGCCGCCCGCCCGCCCGCCCGCCTCAGCCTCAGTCTCAGCCTCAGCCATGTCTAGTCCACGCGCTTGCCGCTAGTGGCGCTAGTGTCGCCGCTGGCACCGGGTCGCGGTCCTCCCGAGCCGCTCACCGTGTGGTGTGACGCACGAAGGACCACTCCTGGGCCAATCAAGCACGTGTCTCTGTGGTGGGGCTGGCGGCGCTGGGCGTCGCCATACTGCGCTGGACCGCACGCTGTTCCCGCACCAGGGTCCAACTCAGTGGGCGGCCCGTGAGACGCGAGAAGGCGGCTCGTGAGACGCGCAGGCGCCTCGCCGACAGTCAGTGACTCTTGCGGACGGCGCCAGGGCGGTGCGACCTAACGGCGAAAAAGGGAGGGGCTTTAAACTGTATCGTGCTCAGTACGGTCCTGTGTCGGCGCCAAAAGGAATATCCTTATTATAATGTCTTCCCTTGGCTCAACAGGGGCAGACTCGTGCATGCAGAACTATTTATTTGCTCCCCGCACTCTAGCTGCTTGTTCTCGGTTGATATTTTGCATGCGCAGCGGAGCGGCGACCGACTGGCCGACCGATAGTACGTTGTTAGGCCTATAATTGATAGGAACCAGGTCATTGTGATACGGCGAGGTCGGCGGCGCCGTCGTTTTTCGACGTCGCTGGCCGGCGGCAGTGCGGTAGACCCACTGGTCTCGTGCGTGTTCGTGTTTGTCTGCGTGTGTGCGCGTGTCGGTGTGCGTGCGTGCGTCTCGTGCCACGGCTCGCGATATTATTGTGTTCGATGGTGTCCTGCGGCCGATTTGCCCGTGTCCTAGGGTGTGTTGTGTAGGTCGCCGGCGGCAGCAAGGGCTGGTCGACAGAGCTTTCGCTATGCTAGTTGTTTGAGTTTGAGAGCGCGCGAACGACGACCGAGTGGCGCGACGGATCCCATATTTATTTTGTACATATCGATTAGCATGTGTGCGAAACTGTCATTAAAGAGGTCAACTCGGCCGTGCCCCGAGGCTATGTCACCGCGCGCTTCATATATTTGGGCTTCGGCCGCCATCCCCGTCTGACCGTCACTAACCAGTGGCCGGCCAGAAACCGGAAATAGACACCATTTTTGAAGACCGGCTGCGTTTGAGAATGGACGTTCACGTCGTCATCGGTGAAGGGTTGGGAATAGGGCCTGTTCCGGTTGGAACTTTGAGCGACATGTCTCAGCGGAGTGGTCGTTTCGGCTCGTTTATGAACGTGGACCGGATGGGGTGAGGTTCCGGGAGGCCGGAGGAGGGGCTGCGGAGAGAGAACACCGGACGACCTAACGACTTGGCTACGGGGCCCTTAAAACGCTGGCTAGCGCTTCGATTACCGACTAGGTAATCCGTTGGGAGAGGCTGAGGTGACTGGCTCGTATAAGTATTTCACTTGCATGCTTTGAAGCCATTCCAATCGATCGAGGCAAGTAAGTGAAATGAAAATTTTGAGAAGGAAAGTGTAGTGAAGGTTGCGAACGTTACATCACACATGTTCGCTAGCTGTTGGCTAGATCTCTGGAAAGAATCGGTCGCCAGTGATAGACCAGGGACTATAACGGAGTTCCATAGTCTTGGACCAGGCCGGACCGGGTCCGAGACGCGGCGAGATCGGCCGAGCCCTACTGCTGGACCGGCGCGGAGGTCGTAGCCAGTCAGTTGTGCAGTTGGAATGGTCGTTGTCTGTTCACAGAAGGTATACATAAGTGATGACATGACCGTCGTCATGCACGAGGATTTGCTGGGTCCGGTCATCCACCAGTGTTGGACGAGTTCGCGCCGGGTATACTTCGGGAGGGCGGGGCCGGGCTGTCGAATTGGGGTGAATCTGAATATCATTCATTCGCTTATTAGTGTAACTCAGTGACTGATTTATTGACATATTCGATTTATACATTTTGATAAAATCGTTTTTTTTTTCTTCGTCTTCATCGTTTTATGCAATCGGTCTTCCCGTGCGATTCCCGTGCAATCGTTTGTAATACTTTGAGCGCGACTGCGAGGCATAGATATCGCTGACTTACCACGTTTGACCTCTAAAAGTCTAGCTTTCATGTTCAAATTACAGTTCAATGAGATCTATTGATAAATACATGTCGAACTTTACATGAAACAATTGTTTTCAAATGAAGTTTTACATTATTTACAAGTGTTAATTAATTGCTTGCCCATTCTATCGTTCTCTGAATCGCCCACCTCTATTTTCGTCCCTTGATGTTTCTTAACTCGGCGCATATGTGACATACTCCATGCCGGCATTTCTGCGTTTTATTCAGGGGGGTGACACACACGGCTATTCGCGCAATGTATTAATTTATGGGCCGCGCGGGGCCTCGCGATGACGCGGCTGGAGGCAAATGCTCAGCGCGCTAGGATACTTCTGGCGGGGCGGGGCGCTGAACGGTGTGCAATGAATGGGTTATGGTCGGGCAGACAGAGATGAGGTATTGAATTTGAATTGACATCAGCAATCGGGTGGGGAAGGAGAACGTTTCTAATCGAGCTTGGGATGGGGAAAGCCGAAAATATCGCGATCGTCTCATAGCTCAGACAGGGCCGGGTGCCGTACCATGTGTTGTATATTTAGGCTGGCAGACAGAGATGAGTTATTGGATTTAAATTCACCTTACCATCGGTTTCTGGTGGGGTTTGAAGACGTTTTTAGTCAAGCTCGGAGTGGGGCAACCCACTGGCGGATCCAGGGGAAGGCATTTGGGGCAAATGTCTTCCCCCACATTGGCAGCGCCCGAAATCGCTTTTCGAGAATCAGAGAAAACTTCACAACTTTTCTGAGGAAATGTTGGTTAATCACACTGCACAGCAGTGCGCAAGGAATCTGTTGTGTATTAGGATGATGTCTCTTGTGACGTCATTTACTCTGCCTGGATTTAGAGAGTGTGCCTCATATGGAGAATCTTGGAAGTTGTTGTTCTTGGCCTTGTGTAGTATGGAAGAAACGTTCTGAGTAAAAGGAGTCTTTGGAGTCAGCCAAAAGCATGAAGTACAATCGGAAGTAGCAGAATAAGGAAAGTACTGACCACTCGATACACAACAAAATGGCGACGAAGGTAAAATACGCGATTTAAAGTCCCGCAGACGCATCTGTAAGGCGCAGCACGTGTCGCGCCAAAGTTTGTCGCATTTCAAGGTTAAGGGCATATCTCGAGTTGGAAGTGCGCCAGTATTTGTCGATTTGGATATTTTCTGAATTATGGCTGTTAGTCTGCCTCCACCACCAAGTATCAAGGAAGGTGAAAACTTCATGACATGGATCAAATCAGTGGAAATTTACATGGGTGCAATTGATGTGAAAACTGCTTCTCAGAAAGTCAATATTGTTCTGCACCTTCTCGGACCTGATGTTCAAGGTATTATCGATACTTTGCCAGAGGGGGACGGGACAAATGCATATGAAAAGTTGAAAGATCAGCTGGAGAAGCACTTCAAGCCAAAAGTAAACGCAGTAGTTGAGCGACATCACTTCAACACAATGGTGTACGAAGGCGGAAGAGTGGAAGGATACGTAGCAAAGCTGAAAACTCAAGCTCGGAAGTGTGACTTTGATGTCAATGAAGTGGATAACCTGGTGAGAGATAAGCTGGTTGCAACATGTCCCTCATCCAGAGTAAAGGAGAGCATGCTTAAGGAAGAAAAGCTGACTCTAACCAAAGCCATCTCTATATGGTCGACAGATGCCACTGTTCGAGAGCAAGCTCGGAAGATGGAAGTGTCAGAGGAAGGAGCATCAAGGAAAGATGAAAAGGTGAACAAGGTCAACTGGAAGCAGGCAGAAAGAAAGCCAAAGAAGGATGAAGCTGTGAGAGGGCAGCAAAACCAGATGAAAAATGCAAGAGGTAAGATGATGCAAAGCAGTCAAAGGGAAGATGAAAGGAAATGCTTCAGATGTGGCAAAGGTAACCATCTGATAAAAGACTGCAGAGTGCCGAAACATGTCAGATGTAACAACTGTTCAAAGCCGGGTCATCTCCAAGCTGCGTGCAGGAACCCGAGTGCTGAAGAGAGAGTGAGGGTGAACTGTAATGAAGGTGACAAAGTAGAAGATGACGAGGAAGACAACTATTGTGTGTATCAAGCAAGCAGGGAGAAGTCAAAGGCGATCAAGGTGAGCATGTCCGTAAATGGCAAGGATGTGGAATTCCTGGTTGACACAGGATGCCCAGTGACGTTGATGCCAGACAGTGTGCTTCCTGGACTGAGTCTGCGGAAAGCTGGATGTCGTCTGACCTCATATACAGGGCACAAGATCCCTGTGCTGGGTGTCACAGATGCAGAAGTAGTGTACCAAGGAAACCAGAAGGAACTGGAAGTGCATGTGGTGGAAGGAGATGGACCACCACTACTGGGACGTAACTGGCTGAAAGAAATCAGACTGGACTGGGAACAGCTGGTGGGAAGTATGCAATCTCAGAAGACAATGCGTTGGAAGCTGGAAGATGTTCTGCAGAGGAATGAAGAGCTGTTTGATGGTACGCTGGGTCAGATGAAGAACACTGAAGCTCATCTAGAGCTGAAAGAAGATGCCAAACCAGTGTTCCAGCCACCACGACCTGTGCCATATGGTCTCGCGGACAAAGTGAAGCAAGAGTTGTCAAAATGGGTGGAACTTGGAGTGACAAAAGAACTGACGTCAGAGGATGCAACGCCGAAGTGGGCCACGCCTCTCGTAGTCGTGCCAAAGCCGGACGGATCAGTAAGGCTCTGTGGAGATTTCAAGGTAACGCTGAACCCAAACCTGGAAGTGCCGAAGCACCCGCTGCCGAAGATGGAGGACATTTTTGCAACAGTGGGACAGGTTCGATACATCTCAGTGATTGACCTCTCCCAAGCGTATCTGCAGATGCCCCTCAACACAGATAGCCAGGAATACTGTGTTCTCAACACACCATGGGGGATGCACCGTATGCTGCGACTACCATACGGGGTGAAGTCAAGTCCAATGCTCTTCCAGAGGGAAATGGACAGAATCCTCAAGAATGTGCCTGGAGTGAAGTGTCTGTTGGATGATATTCTCATCACAGGAAGAACTGAAGAAGAAGCACTGAAGCGACTGGACGAAGTGATGCAGATCATGAAGTCACACGGTCTGCGTCTGAAAAAGGAGAAATGTCAGTTTCTGACAAAGGAAGTCCGGTACCTAGGGCTCAGGCTAGGAGCCGAGGGCATCAGAACAGATCCAGAACGTGTGAAAGCCGTGCTGAACGCAAGAGCACCCACCAACCAGAAAGAAGTTCGTGAGTTTCTCGGTGCTGTCACGTTCTACAACCGCTTCCTGAAGAACCTCTCGAAGACAGCAAGGCCGTTGAATGAACTCCTGAAGAAAGACAGCAAATGGAAGTGGACTGCAGAGTGTGAAGCCAGCTTCAACAGCATCAAGAGACAGCTGTCATCAACGGAAGTGCTGCGTCATTTCGACGTGACGGAGCAGGTGACGGTGATCACGGACGCTAGTCCAGAAGGACTAGGCGCCGTACTCGTTCAAGGGAAGGATGAGCGGCCGATCATGTACGTGTCAAGATCGCTGAGTGAACACGAGCGGAAATACTCTCAGATAGAAAGGGAAGGACTCTGTGTAGTCTGGGCATTTCAGCGACTGAAGCAGTTCCTGTACGGGCGCCATTTCAAGCTCGTAACGGACAACAAGCCGCTAGCTCACGTCTTTGGACCTAAGGCGCCGCTGCCGACGTTGGCTGCCTCACGGATCCAGAGATGGGCGATGAAGTTGGCGGAGTACGATTTCTCTGTGGAAGTCAGGAAGTCGGAACAGATTCCAGTAGCTGATTGGCTCTCACGTCTACCGAGAGAAGGCTCAGTGCTGAAGTCAGAAGCACCAGAAGACGAGTGCACTGTCTGTCTGATCGGACAACTGGAGTCGCTAAGTCCGGTGACGGCCGCAGCGATTCAACGAGAGACGGCCAGAAGCCCAATCCTGGCGAAGGTGATGCACTTCGTGCACAACGGCTGGTCAGAAGCCGTAAATGAAGAGCTACAACCATTCAAGATGAGGCAAACCGAACTGACCGTGGAGCGCGGATGTCTAATGTGGGGATGTCGCGTCGTGGTTCCGCCGAACCTGA